ATATTTGTATGAAATTTTAAATCTGTCGATCAATTTTAACCTAGTTAAAGATATTATTAAAAAAAAAATTTTTTTCTATTGAAACCATACATGGGACACAAGCACCCAAATGTGATTGTTTCTGCTTTCCAATCGTCACAATTTTTTCAAAAACATTTTTATTTTGCATCAGTATGATTATTACAAAATTTTATGAAAGTACCACTTCTGGAAGTTGTTTATCTTAAATACTAAAAATTCTGGACCAGCTTGTTTAACCCCCTTTTTTAACCCCTGTGGTTTTGAAAATGTTATCCTTTTCTGGTGTACTTTTTTTTCCTGTAAGAAATATTTCCACTAGGGTATGCAGAGTTACTACCATTTTTTAATCTACATTCATCTCTTGAGAGCTTGGACTTGTACCGTTCAGCCTGATTTTGATCCGGGTTAATAAATACTGTTTCAAACTTCTTTGAGTCTCTTAATTCTTTCGGCTTTTTAAGAATTGAATTTATTTCTGCTTTATCCTTAAGTGTAACAATGAAAGGGGCAATTTTGCAATCCATAGATTTTAATTTTATTATATTTTGAATATTTACATTAACTTGCAGCTTACTTAATACCCTGTTGATAAATTTTTTGTTTTCTTATTTTTCAATTTTTTGATCGGTGTTTGTAGAAGCAACGACACAAAACATAACATTATTTTCTCTTTTCTTCCTTTCTCTGGTTTTATCAGCAATTAAGTTTATAATGTTCATTTCGCCAGGAGATTTAATAGTAGTACCGCTACTAATGCTTGGCCATAAGACTGGAGGTTGTTTAACATTTTCTAACTCATGGATACGTGAAGATATTTTAATGTTAATAATTGTTAATTTTTAATTATTTCTCTCATATTTCTATTTAGTTGCTCTTGTTGCGCCTTGTAGGTGTATATACATACACAATTTTTATGTGATTTATTAAGATCTGTATATGACACTATGTGACACCATATGGAGTACTATCTAAATTGAATATGCAGGCCTTATTTGAATTTTAGGTACATTATGGTGATTTCACATAGGCGTTATGCAATTAACACTTTTAAAAAAAAATTATTTTATTGAATTTAATTAAAATTTTTATAAAAATTTTAAAACACTTCATTTTATAAATTTTTTTACTGCTAATATTTTTAAACTATGTTAAAGTTCAAATAAAATAAAAAATTAATAAATTTAATTAATTACTTTAAAATGTTTGTATTACATATAACTTTTTTTTATTTCAGTTTTGAAATTGCTTTTTAACGAAAGTTTTTTCTTTATTAATAATTTTTGAATTCATCATAGACTAAGCGTCAATAAAAAATGATTAACTAGTTGAGTAGTATGTAGAGTATGCGAAGGTTTTGTTAAAGCCAAAAAGTTAAAAAAAAAAAGTTTTTTCATTTTTTGACCGTTAAAGTAAAAACTTTATAACTTTTAATGCTAGTTTTTTCTGGCTTTTATATATACATATATATACCAGGGTTGGCAAAAAAACCCAACCCAAAAAAACCCACCTTAAAAAAATCCTATAAAACCCAAAATATATTTGGGTTTTTTTTAAAATGACCTATTTTACAACTGATAACTCTGATTTTAACACTTATAAATGCTTTATTATCAGCAAGTGCAACCTTTATACTGCAATTACTCTTGTAAACACTGTATTTATATACACAATGGTCTTTAGAATATACCCAAAATCGATCAATCTGTTTTTGTAGCAAGTTGGTAATTTATTAAAAACATTTGCAAGTTATTATAAATGTTATTGAAATATGTATTAAAACATTAAATTAGTTAAATACTTATAAAGAAAATAAAAATCATTCTATTAACTAAATTTCAAGATATTACTAGTTTTTTAGTATCTTTATTCTCCTCTCGAATGTCTATATTCCTTTATATTGGTATTTGATCTTTTATTTTTTAAAGCTTATGTTGTAAACTGCAAAAAAAAAAAATACAAAGCCACAAGCAAAATACTATATATAAAAATTATTAAACTTTATTTACAGTTTAGAAATGGAAAGTTGTCAGGCAAAAAAAAAATGCTACAGTTTACTAGATTTGTCCTTAAGTGCATATAACTTTAAAACTTAAAAAAAATAAGTTATGTGCAAGCAAGTTTGCAACATGTTTGCTCATTCAATGAGAGAACATGTTGAAAACTTGTATGCATTTCACAGGGACAAGATTTGTTGGTAAAAACAACACTCGTGCTCATCTGTCTTTTGACAAGTTTTGAATATTTTGCATCAGCTACAAGTTTACAACATGTACCACCAACAGGGGTGACTATGAACAGTGGATTGAAAATTAACATCAGTATCAAGTTGCTAAAAGGTTAAGAAACACACACACAATAGAGCTATATAATGTGTTACTTTGATTCAGTTTGCAATTTGCATTGCAAAGCTGAGCCAGTAAAACATCTTCAAGGAAAAAAAAAACTTGGTGGCGAAGACACTGTAATGGTTCTTAACAAATTTATTTTAGATATTTCAAGAAACAAAGTTTAGGCAAAAATCCATTTTTTGCCAGTCCAGTTGATCAGGCCGATAATTTTTCCAGGAAGCTGGACAGTATAATGTTCTGATAAAAAAAAATGTAGTGATTAGGCTAGCAGTTTTCTTCTATGATACAAAAATGTTTAAAAAGTGTTCATAGTCATCCTGATTGATAATAACTTATAAGGTTGCAACATCATGTTGCAAACTTGTTGATTACATGTTGTAAACTTGTGCATAATAGTTTTTGAAATGATATGTTAAACATGTTAGTAAAAAAAACTAGTTTGCAACATTTATATTGTCTTACCAACTTTGAATAACTCAATTGTCATAATAATTTTTACACTTTTTTTTTTTAGTCAAAAATATTCTGAACATGTTTTTAATTTAGAGCAATTAATTAACATCATTTATAGTTGATGGAGTCCCTTTTTGCACTATAGGTAAAATGTGCTAGTAAACTAGTAGTAAAACATTTGGCTCGCAACCAGAAGGTTGGGGTTCAAATTACCTCTGCTGAAATTACTGTCTCAATCTATTTCTCCACACAGCGCCTTTGTTTAAAAATTTTAGTTGTTAATGTTGTTTGTTAGTAAAAATGGTAATGTTAAGGATTGAGACAAAATATTTTTAAAAAATGAGTTGCTCCCTTGACTGAAATGGTTATTGGAGCAATAGGGAGGTGAATTTATGAAATTAAAAAAAAAATTATTGTACTCATACAATTATAAAAATTTGGTATTTTGATCGATTTTTAAAAAAACCCAAAAATTGGAAAAAACCCCTGGGTTTTTTCCAACCCTGATATATATATATATATATATATATATATATATATATATATATATATATATATATATATATATATATATATATATATATATATATATATATATATATATATATATACAACGTTTTTTCAAACTTATGTTATAAATATATTGCTATTGGGTTTTCCTTTTGATGTTAAATTTTATGTAGAAGAATTTAATTTTTTTTTTTATAAAACAAACCAAACTTTTACAATCAAATAAAAATAACATGATCTATAAGTAAATGCTTTAAAAGCCCAACTTATATCTATTTAATTTTAAAAACAAAACTAATACTAATTCTGTAAATATAAGATATTTAAATTTCACAATTATACTGATATTTGTTAAAAACAAGTTTTGCTAATAACATCTTAAAAACGAAAATACTATTTTTTTTTTTTAGATTTAGTAAGAAATAGTGAAAATACATTAGGTTTCACGATAAATAAAAATGAAATATTTTAGTGGAAATAAAAAGTAAAAAAAAAAAAAAGCAGAAAAGCGATAATCTTTGTTACAATTACAATAACAAATACAATACAAGTACAATTTTTATTTTGTCAAAATAAAAATTGTAATTAAAGTTGAACTCAAATGTTTTAGGTAGCGTAAATGTTTTTTTTATGTAATTGTGTAGTATAAATCGTTTAAAAAACTCTGCAGTTAGTACATTTAAATCCCTATAAGAAATTCAATCATAAATAAGTGTCATTAAAAAAAACAAAACAACAAACATAAAACCGATGTTTAAAAAAAAAATATTTAAATAAGTATAAAGTTTTAAAATAAGGATATTGTATAATATAACAAATATAACGATATTTTTAATTTAAAGATATTTTATAAAGATTTACAACATTTTTTTAAAGACTTACAACAATTACAACATATTTTATAAAGACCCACAACAACTTTTAATGTGGTTTTAAATTTAATTACAACGAGATCTTTTAAAATACAGCCACTTACTAGTGATGAACTGGTTACAAGCTACAGAAATAAGCAAGGCTTTTCATATTTTATAAGTAAAATTGAAAAAATATAAACTTAACAATTTAAAAATATAAATCTAACATATAATCTTTACTTATATGTAAAACAACATTTTATTCTTATATATTATAAAAGGTCAGACATGTTAGAATTCTGTCAACTAATGGAATTTCAAAAACTTAAGGTGCTTTTAATTAGCAAATAGTGTTAACAAAAACTAAATTAGAAAAAACCATGTCTATACATACCCTGACATCCTTTGTTATCCATTAATGTCAGAGCTTAAAAATTTTTGGTTAGTCATGGGTACATGTATGAAATTGACATTAAACAAATAAATTGTACATCAAATAAACTACAAGTCTTGTAATTTTAGTTTTTAGATTATCTCATTAAAGTATTAAAGTACATTTAATCTCTCATAAAAAAAACATTTTTTATTTTGAGTCTAAACGTTAGCACTAATTTAAGTCATTTGTGGTTAGAAATTAACTATAATAGCTAATATTCACCGAATTTTATCACACTTTAATGAAAACTGATCATAAAAAATCTATTAATAAAAAATCATAGTTTATTCAAATCTATTCCTATCGTATTATTAATTATGCTGAGCTATCTAGGTTTTAGTAAGTTTACAAAATAAGACACTGTTGGAGTTTACTCACTTGCTGATATTCTGTCTGGAATTTGGTGTTTATCTCCTGCATTAGCCATTATTAGTAAAATCTATATCAATAATGTTACGAATAAAACATGTACTTTAAGCGTTGGGGACTCACTAATTTTTTAAATAAAATGCTATTTATTGGTTCTCTAAGCTTTTATAATCAATAGGCATCTCCCACGGAACAATACATAAATTTGGATATTGAGCTTTGTTAATTGATTTATTAACACGCATGCGCATAAATAAATAATTTTTTAGAAATGGCCAGTGTAAACGGTCGGAATTTAAATAGCAGATGTTTAACGGAGAAAGATTGTATTAAGTATAAAAGTTTCGTTAATGTTTCATTTATCATTTTTGTAGTTTATTTTTCCATTAATCTTTCATGGATATAAAAAAATACGGCGCGCTTTCCACAAGTTAAATATAAGGCATTTTAATAGTTGCTTAAAAAATGTTTATTTTAAGAGATTATTTAATGATAAAAGAAATATTACCATTGTTTTATTTTTATTATTTTTTATTAAACAGTTATTTTTTGGAATTTCTTTTGTTGTATATGTAATTACTAACCAACATTGTCATATTTTAACGTTGTCCTACTTCGCCAAAATATCTTTTATCGAACTATTTTAAAATTTACTAAGATTTGGATCCAAGTCCATTTAATAAATTTCTTCGGAGGTTGCTTTTGCACAATAGATGAAGATCAGAAATTAAAATATTATTTTTATTTTCAATAAACTGTTTTAATGATTTATATTATTGCGCGTTTTATGTCTAGTTGCAGCACCTGCTAGTAAATGTCTTTTTTACTATGTTTTTAAAACCATAAATAGTTAAATCTTAAATGAATAGAACTTTTTTAATTATTACGCGCTGCTTAAATCTTCAAACATTCCAATAATCTAAAATGTTTTATTGAAACCTGGAAACCTGGTTTTTTTAGACTTAAATGTTTTATCAAAGCCCTAAAACCTGTAAAATAGAAATACGAATAAACACGAAATAGTCTTTAAAACTTCTTTGCCTAATTTTTTGGTTTCAGTGTATATGTATCTATCTATCTGTCCATATCTATCTATCTATATATATATATATATATATATATATATATATATATATATATATATATATATATATATATATATATATATATATATATATATATATATATATATATATATATATATATATATATATATATATATATATATATATATATATATAACGGAAACAAAAACTATACACCCTTAGAATCCTCTATTATGGATCTTCATAGTTAGTGATTTTTCTAAAACTTTTATTGACATTTATTTCTGGAGTAATGACTTTTGTTTACATATACTTCTAGAGTAGTGGCTTTTATTTACATATACTTCTGAATTACATGTTATTGCTTGAGCTTATTTTAATGAAAAATGTAATGAAAATAATTTGTTTCACTAAACATTTTCATAAAACACAGTTAAATGTAACATTTTAAATTAACTAATTATGCATTGGGTTACAAAAAATAGAAGTTTTGCATAGTTTATGCATTCAAAAATCAACTCGGTTAGTAAACTGATTGCCGAAGGGCTAATCATTATTTGCTCAACTATAAATTTATTATACTCAAACTAGAAACTTATGAGCCTATAATACTGTTCTGCATGTAATAGAAATGATTAGAAAAACGTAATTTGAAAAACCAATCTTTTTTATAAATAGATAATTAACAAAAATACGTTACGTCACCAACATCATTTTTAATTCTATTTATAACTTTAAACCAGAGACTTATAAATCCAAGCCGTATTATTAAAGAATGCATTTTGTTAACTTAACTAATATAACACGGGAAATTGAAGACTTTATTTCAAAAACCACCTCAAAGTCCACCTTCAAACAAAGTCGTTGTGTAGTAGTCATAGTTCAGGTTTCAGGACTGGAGGTCCGTGGTTTGGAGCTGGCTCTGAAATTGGTTTGACTTGACTTGTGAGTGGTTTTACTTGATTTGACTTGTAAGTGTTTTTGACTTGACTTGTAAGTGTTTTTGAAAAAGTACTCTATTGTTTTCATCATTAGAGTTAGCGTTAACATGAATCTGCTAAATAGTACTTCAAAAACAAAAAAACAAAAAAACAAAAAAATACAAAAAAAAAAAAAAAAAAAACTGTAGTGACCCCCTCGGGCCTTGGGGAGGTGAATTAAAAAAAAAAAAAAAAAATGAAATTGTCTAATTGCTATTTGACGATTTTTTTTTTTTTTTTTTTTTTTTACATTATGAATTATTTGTAATATCTATTTAATATATGAACCACCAATTTGGAGAAGGTTATAAATCCAAAAAATAAAAATAGAAATAACAAAAAATTGTTTTTAATTTTTTACTTCCAATTTATAGGTTCATTTGAGATCAATGATAATAAAGAAAATACAAATTCTGGTTAATTTAAAGTATACAAGATAAAAATTAAAATATTAATAATAATAAAAAAAATTTCAAAAATAGATAATAATAATAAAATAAAAAAAAAAACGCGGAGATTCATCAACATCTTCACTTTTACACCTTGTAGTTAGCAAGGTTAAAATAATATCGCAAAAATTTTCAAATTTACCAGGTTTTTTTTGTTTGTCGTTAATTTTTTTCTCATTTATGGGCATTTTAGTAAAATATGGCTAAGTTTCTGGTATTTTGGGTGGTTTTTTTAAGAGATAGTCTTTTTATTTTTGCTTCGAGTTCTTCACAAATCATGCAAACGTCTACTTTTGACCGACCAAATCGACCAGCCATCATTAAAATATTATTATACTTACCTACTTCTTCACTTTTGGATCTTTCAGTTGTTGGCCAGCTCAAAATAATATTGTAAAATCTTTGAATTTGTCAGGAGTATATTGGATTATTTTTTGTCTGTCGTTCGTTTTTTTATATTTATATGCATTTTAGTAACAAATGCCGTAGTTTCTGGTATTCGAGTTTCGGGTTTTTATTTTTGTGAAATAGGATTTTTATTTTTGCTTCAATTTTTTCACAAATAAAAAACGTTTACTTGTAGCTGACCGAATTTGTAGCCATGATTATCATTAAAATATTTACTGTAATATATTTAAATATAATTAAAACAAAATACAAGTACTGTAAATATTTTAATGATTATCATTAAAATATTTACTGTAATTGTATTTTACGTCAAAATAATGCATGAACTTTTATAAAATTTCATGCATTATTTTGACGTCTAGGTTTGCTTCTAAATATATATTCGCTGCTATAATGAGATTGTTTGAAATGACTGGACGTGTTCATTTATAGTCGTAATTCCTTCGTTTGATAAGAAATCACCTTAATTAAAATGATGCCCTTGTTAATCTTTAGGTAAAATTTCCAACGATTTAAGGGAGGTGGAGCAAAAAACAGCCTCATTTTTAATAACATATAAAAAGGAAAACGCTTGACGGCGTATTTAATTCAAATTTGCGTGAATTCGCAGCGAATTCAAGCAAATGCTGTTTTTCTTCAATATTAAAATGCTGAATGCAGTTTTTTTTACAGACATATCCAATCTATTACTGTCAAATCTGACTCATATTAACCTTCCAGTACTTGTACTCAGGTAAGATTGACCAGGTAGAAACTGTGACTTCAGCTTCTCTGATTATCAAGTGAATTGAAATTCTTTGGTTACTTTCACTGCTCATATTAAAACTTTAACAATGAAAAAATTTACTTTTAAGGTTAATAACCTCCACAACGCAATGCTATACGAATGCAGTCTCAAATACAACTAAAATGGTAGTTGTTAGATAACCCTGTAAAAAGAAACAGTATTTCTATACTTGTAAAGTTGATAGTTGAAAATTAGGAAGGATTTGTTTGCTTCTTTAACTAACTATTTTTATAAGTCATAAAAATCCCTATCAAAAACTTAGTCATAAATTATCATAGTCATAAATCAGACTCATAAATTATGCTAAAACAATAGCCCAAGTCAATACAAAGTGAGCGGTTTTTGTTTTTATTTATTCTAACTCACAGTTAAGATCTACGTTTAAAGAATATAAAAATGTAGAAAAGTGAATACGTCAAAAGTGGTACTTATCCCCTTATTTTAATTTGGTTATTCATATATTATTGATCAAAACAACAATGTCAATTTTTTTGGATTTATTTTAGAATGTTAAACTTTGTTCCAATCTTAAAAGATAAATCTTTGTACTAAATACCTTGTGAGGTATCATCAAAGCTCGGACTTTCTAAAGAAAGTGCGGTAATTACTGCACCAATAATTAATGCAATCTTTATCAAGACATCCTTGTTTGATTTTACAATCAAACAAAGATGCCTTGGTAAAGGTTGCAGTAATTATAGCACCTTAATAAAATTTTATCAAGGCATCATTGTTTACATATAAATTTTCAAGAGTTTTTTTCCGTTTCTGCAAACGGATGTATAACTAGAGGATATTTTCTTTATTGTTTATTCAACAATAAAGTTAAAAAAATAGATGGAAACTAAACTCCTTATGTCTATTAATGGTTATTATTATGATTAATTATATTATTTAAATATATATTGTTGGAAAAATATTTAGGTTATTGAGGAAAAATTGCAAAAGATTTTCGCGATTAAATTTTTATTTATTTCAAGTTTCGATGAAGCTCTGGGATTAATATTTAAAAATTAAATTAATCTTAATATCAAATTTATATTTATCCAATTATAAAATTTGTAATTAAACTTTTTTTAAAAGTTCAAAAGAAGAATTTATTTTTTCAAAAATAAATAAATCAACATGTTTCAAACCAGCATTATTTAAAATTAAAGCTTTTTTAATATTTAAATTTTATAAAATTTGTCCGTTACTATTTTATCTCTATTTTCAATTTTAAATAAAATTTAAAAAAAAATTATATTTTGTATATTGTGTTTTTGATATTATATTTAACGTTCGTGGTTCCACAATAGTAAGGTTTGAACCATGATGCCATTTTCTTTTTTAAAAATGACACTAGATGAATAACTTAACTATTAATCAAAAATGCCACAGGGGGTAAAGAAAAATATCTTTAATTCCTATTACTTATAATAGAACTTTGTGCTTTGGCTATAACCGTGGGAGACCGCGGGCTATTAATTTTTAACAGTTAATCTTAATGTAGTAAATTATATCTTGTTTTTTAAATCAAAAAATAAATTATTTTTTTTCAGCAAAGATATCA